CTCAGAAAGTTTCAAATTAGGGATGCACGATATTAGATTTTTGTCCGATATCCGCTATGCCAATATGTTAAAACTTATTTGACCAATACCGATATTTTTTCCCCTAGACCTACTTACAGAGACTACACAGCTTTCTCTGCTGTGGAATTAAAATACTACATTATGGTCTTTGTCAGTTTGGCCTTCTACCAGATGCAGATGCCAAAAAGGGGCTGAAAATGATGGTTCTTGAGATGGTTAATTAATTAGGTTCGAAGTGTTGTAGGACTTTGTTTTTGCTCCTCCTTGCATCACTGACTCTGAGCAGTCATCGCAAATAGCGGTTCTACTACGTTTCCGACACTTTAAAAAACTTCCACACCGCTGACATTTTCACTTCTTCCTTTCCCAACGTGATCGGATCAGGTAGGCGCGCATGATGTCATAACGTTGTGCTGGCTGCAGGCATACTCACACCTAGGGGCAGTTTAGAGTTACCAATCAGCCTAACATGCATGCTTTTGGTCTGTGGGAGGAAACCGGAGTACCCGGAGAAAACCCACGCATGCATGGAGAGAACATGCAAACTCCACCCAGAAAGGCCCCTGGACCCGGGTTTGAACCAGGGACCTGCTCGCTGAGAGGCAGCAGCTCTACCAGTTGCGCCACCGTGCTGCCCCGATACTGATACCATGCCGATAATATTGTGCATCTGTATTTAAAATAATATTTTCACCTATTTGGACATTCTACAGTCCAAATCAATGTAACAGCTGTGTGCTTTTCCATCACATCCATGAACAGATTTGAACAATTATTGAACTCCATAGAAATAGAAAGAAAAATGCCCTTACAGCTTCTAACAAACAACATTTGTCACACAAAGCCTTTAAGATTCACCATTTAAACGTATAAGTCCTTCTAACGCTATAAGTGTAGATCTAATAGTCCAAGATTTGTCTAATACAGTAATCCCTAATTTATCGCGGGAAATCCGTACCCTGAAGACCCGCGATAAGTGAAAAACCACGAAGTAGAAATAGTATAAGTAGTTTATTTTATTATTTAAATATATATAAAGGCATTTTAAACCCTTCCCACACTCTTGAAATATTCTAAACAATGTTTCTAAACTCTAAACGCACTAAAAGACACAGAATGTCATGATTTCAGCTCCCTGCCTCCTCTGCTCTTTGCCACCTGCAAGTGCTCTTGGCCACGCCCACTTCTCCTCTCTGCAGGTGAACAGCTGATCAGCTGTTCAGCCGCAGCAGGAAGTTTGTCCTGCTGCAGTATGGGCTGCTCAAAGCTGCAGGAAGAAGCTTTTTCTACAGCTCTGTGCTGCACAAATGTGCAGCAGGTGCTAAATAATTTAAAATAATTTATTTTAAATAAAAATGTCATGCCAGTTGTGCGGCTCATCCATCAATCAGCCAGTTGTGTGTCATGTCCAATCTTATTTTGAAAAACCACGATAGAGTGAGTCCGCGATAAACAAACCGTGAAGTAGCGAGGGACTACTGTAATCCTTTTTTCCTGTTTTTGTGCATTTATTGCAATTAACGTGTTTCATTCCTGCAGAAACTTCTACTTTGTATTTAAAATGATATTTCCCTTAAAATTCCCAACACGATATTCACTTTGACTGATTGCAGCTTTTTGCAAGTGTTTTGCACAGTTGCCCCATAAGATAAATGTGCAAAATGTGACTTTGTTTAAAATAAATGTAAAATATAATTTGTTGCTTAGGCAGACTGGGTTGTTTTTAATCCAAACAAAATATCTTTTTGTATGCAGATGCATAAAAATTAATGATTAGTTTAGTTTTTAATATATGTCATACTTCATGTCTAATGCCACTAGTACTTATTCTACTTGACAACATTTGCTGCTGCTTCAGCTTCTTTCTGAGTTTTATTTTAGCTGTAGCTCAGTAGTAAGTCTTCACATCTCGTATAAGTCATGTTAGGTTTAACGCAGAGCTGAAAATAGAGCCATACTCAACGTTAGAGTTGCACATTTCATTTTATTTTTTAATACCTGCGCAGCCACTTACACTTCATCTTCATATGAATTCTGCTGCTCTGACTTTTGACACGTTTGTGTTATACTTGAACATGTTTTTATTGGCTGTCCACCTCCCAGTTAGTTGTCCGGACTGCAGCAATAACTACTGTTTTATGCCTGATCAGTTCTCCTTGTCAGCTTGTGTGTTCATGTGTGCGTTGCATGCTAAACAGATGGACCATGTATTATGTAAAACTAAATGATTTGAGTAATGGCCTGTTTAGCTGCTGCTTCCCTCCAACCAAACACCAACATGCTAAACACAGATATATGAAAACACACATTTCTAGACACACACACACAGAAAGTCCCTAGTCGTCCTGTCTGTAATAGAACTCCGGAGAGGTTCAGCAGTAACCACATGTACAACGCACCCTGGAGAGATGCTGGGAGAGTGAAAGAAAGGCTAACTAGGACGGGAGCGCAGAGACGGAGCGTGTGTGTGGGAGTGAGCGTGGAGGTGGTTCTCTTGTCTTAAGGTTACCCTTGGAAAGCATTTCTCTTTCAGGGGAGATGCAGAGAGGAAGTGAAGGATTGGTAGGATGGTGCTCACCGAGGAGGAGTATTTTAATATGCTGTCCTTCGTTTTAGTGCCCACACATGAAAGTATAAATGGCTCGTACACGTATATGCATAGGCCTGTGTGGGGAGAGAGGGAGGGGGGTAGCGGAAGACGAGAGGCTGTTAAATGATTAAACATGAGCAACTTGATGCGCACGATCCCATTCTGTAGAAGAAAAGAAAAGGCAAAAGTGAAAGAAAGGAAACTTATACAAGTGACAATGCATTTTCTTTGAAAATGCAGCGTGAACACTGAGCGCTGAATGACTGCTGAAATTTGCTGAAGAAGCCGAAACTGAGCTGCTAATGCTAAAATTAGCAGAGCATTAACTATTAGCATTCAATTCAGTTAAATTCAGTTTATATAGCACCAAGTCACAACAGAAGTTTGCTCTGAACAAAAACATTCACGCTCGTAAAAGTCAATTAGTGACATTATTTATCTAAGGAAGGAAGTAGAAAAGGATAGCTAAAAGCAAAATTAGCAAAATAATGGTTTAAAGCTAAAACTTTCACAAGCATGGCTGAATGCTAAAAGCAGTCAAATCTAAATCAGCAAATCTAAATTAGCAAAAGGCAATCTAAACATATCAAAGGCTAACTAGAAGCTTAAAGTAGTGGGATGTTAGTTAAATGCTAAAAGTAGTAAAAGGCAAAATCAGTAGGTAGAAGTAGCAAAAGGCTAGCTAAAAGTAAAATGTAGAACAGTAGCTAAAAACTAAAAGCAGCAGAATGCTGTCTACGACTAGCGAAAGGCTAACTAGAAGTATCAGAAACAAACAAAAGCTAACAGTAGCAAGATGCTAGCTAAAAAAATAAAAGTAGCAAAACAATAGCCAATACTAGTAAAAAGCTAGCTAAAAACTAAAAGTGGCAAAATACTAGCTAAAAGTATCAGTCTAAAATGCTAGAAGCTAAAAGTTGCAGAACGACAGCTAGCCATTTGCTACTTTTACTATTAGCTAACAGTCAAAAGTAGCAGAATTATAGATTAAAAACTAAAAGTAGCAAGCAAGATGAGGCAGATTTAAAAATAACTTTTATTTAATATTGTATTTCAATGTTAAATACAATTTTGTAAAAAAAAAAAAAAAAAAAAGGTTTTAAAAAGTATAAAGTGTCCATAAACAACGTCGTAGCACCCGTTTAGCTGAATGAGCTGAATGTTTAGAATGGCTAAAAAGCACAAAATATGCAGACGTAATTAAGTTGCAATAAATGTGCAGAAAAATACAAAACAGGAAAAGAATCATCAGCATTCACAGAATAAACTCTAAAGTTCTCCTCTTTGTTGTTTCTCCTGTTCTCTCTACAGCCTCAGGAACAAACGAGAATGAGGAGAGGGTGTTTCGTGAGCGGATCGGTCCTCGCCGGCGGCAGGGCGCAGTCCGGAGACGCGTCCATCAAGTCAACGGGCACAAGTTCATGGCCACCTACCTGAGGCAGCCAACCTACTGCTCACATTGCAGAGATTTTATCTGGTAGGCAACACGAAACACATCTGTCTTACCTAACGGTGTAACAGCGACCGAGTGTCATTAAAGACAACCTCACTGACATGTCGTCTCCTCTGTGTGATCCGATAGGGGTGTGCTGGGAAAGCAGGGTTACCAGTGTCAGGGTGAGTACGGTACTTTTCTCCGGCCCATTTCAACTTCTCCAGTAACATTGCACTTCATTTATTATTTAAACACAAGGAATTGCACGTTGCTGAGTGACAGCTGTGATTTGGTTGCAAACCAACTCGCAGAACAGTACTTCTATTATATTACCCAAGAATCTAAAAAAAATGTGGTAGCCTGAACTGTACTTACCTGTTCAAGGGTTTTGTTGGCATGCCAGCCCAGGCTGCTGTAAGTTAGCATCATAATAGACAATAATCCTATAAAACCTGAACATTAAGTACCATTGTCAGTGCTCATGCGAAGAGTTGTACAGCCAGTGTAGATCTGGGAGCATTGATGGCGTGTTAGTGGAAATTCTTACCAGTCAACCAGCAGGACTTGAATCTGACACACCAGAGTTATCGAATCCCCTGAGTGCATTAGAAGCCTCAGCGCGAATGTAATTTGGCATTCAACAAGCCTTTAAACGCAATCATCAGTAATTCAATCCTGGATTGTACTTCATCGACTTGCCGCTAGCTTAAACAGCACCCCTCATCAACACAGCTTACCGTGTTTTAACTGAGGCGTAGAGTCCAACACGACTTAAATATTTAACCATCCTAAGGAAATTTGACAAACATGCGGCCTGTTTCTTTTCTGCAGCTGTGCAACTGCTCACATTCTTTATTCTAAGGGGAACAACCTTATTGTGACTAAGCTTATTTAGTTACATTATCATTAAATAGTTTACAATATTGTCCATTAATAATGTATTTTAGTTAGTTTTACAACGTGTCTCGTGGTTGTGTTGTGTCCAACAATCCAGAAGTATTAAACTTTTGACAATTATCTCAACCAATGATTTCGAAAAGTTAGGCTTAAAGGATTAGCAGGAGCAGACCCACTGTTACTTCTTCCAGCTGTCATGTTTCTGTTCTTTAAGTTGTAGTAGTTGACAAGAAATGTTTCTGCACCAGTATTATTTTTAGAGATCCAGTTGTGGGTTTGCAAGTATAAAATGATCATTTATGTTCCTATTTTTACATTCAAAGTGGGTCTTTCTCATCTGGCTGAGAATCCTTGTAGCTAAATGCAGCAAATGACAATTGTTCGAATTGTTGCAAAACTATTAGTACTACGGAAGTATTCTGAAATCTTACTTTAATTTAGGTTCAGTTAATCACTGACTTGACTGTTGCTGCCAAATGTCACAGTTTTTAACACTTTTATTAGTCAAATTCTGTAGATCAGACGATAAGTTTTGGAAACAGCTAAGTGTTTGTGATTGTGTTGGTGCTTTCAGTGTGCACGTGTGTCGTCCACAAGCGCTGCCATGAACTCATCATCACCAAATGTGCTGGGATGAAGAAGCAGGAAGACACAGCTGAGGAGGTACACACACATTAAAATGAGCAGGATCTTACTGATGAACTTTGACTTCCTGTTTCTCTGCACAGTACGGTTTACAGACCGCCCACTAAAAGTGATAATGTTGTCACTTTTAGTCTGTTTTCACGTTTTAAGCATAAAAAGTTTTATTACATATTAATCTCCTGATGCATGCTCAATAATCCAGGTAGATAAATCTAACAAGCTTGAGTCAGGTCTTCTGGACGGGTTCTTTGTTGAGAAGAACCATCCAGAGGACCTGACTCGACCTTGTATGATATGATTAAGTTTTTTTCCCAGTAAAGTATCTGCGTTAACTCAAAACATGAGGCTGTCCTTCTGTAAGGTCTCTTTTTTTTTTAAGACTTGTGTTGTGTTTTTGTGTGGGTGTGTCTCCCTCTGTAGGTGGGTTCACAGCGGTTCAGTGTTAATATGCCCCATAAGTTCAGTATTCACAACTACAAGGTGCCCACCTTCTGTGACCACTGTGGCTCCCTGTTGTGGGGCCTCATGAGGCAGGGCCTGCAGTGCAAAGGTGAGTTTGGGTTCACCTGGCAATTTAGATATATGTATATATATATATATATATATATATATATATATATATATAAAGTATGGATTTTTTAAATTTAAAATAAATTCTTTAAATTTTTATTTTTCATTTATCCTTTATTTATACAGATAGTCTCATTGAGTCACGAGAACTCATTTTAAATGGAGACTTGTTTAGGGAGCAAATGGTGGGGTTTAGAGGCCTTGCTCAGGGGCCCAGGGTGGGGCGAATGAGGGTGGAGGCAGGTGTGGGTGTTTCACCTTTTCCACCCACATTTTAATGTTGACGGTACCGGGAGTTGAACCTGTGACTTTCCGATCACAGGCCCGTCTTCTAACCTCTGCGCCACCACTCCCCCACCTGCTGCACCTGTGTGCAGCCCACAGCTTCAGGAGACGCTTCCTCCTGCAGCATGTCAGGATCTCCGCTCTGCACTAGAGAAGTGGGCGTGGCTGAGAGCACTGGCAGGTGGTCGAGAGTGGAGATCATGACAGGCTGTGCTCTTTTTACTTTTATTATTTATTTGGTTTACTTTGCAGTTTTTCACTTATGGTGGGGCTGAGAATAGACCCCCCCCCCGAAATAAACAAGGGACTACTGTGTGTATATATGTTCCCATCCTGATAAATTCCTATTTGCAGCAACAGGAAGCAGTCCAATCAAAACGGTCAAAGATACAACTGACATAGTGCAACAAATTGATTGACAACTACTAAAAGATTGAAATGATGCTAAATCGTCTTAAATGTGCAACATTTCACATTTTGAGCAACCAGGAAAAGCTGAAGTTAAGACTTAAAACAAAAAACTTTATGTCTAAATAAACCTTAGTTTTAAAACAAGACTTAGGATCAAAACAGCTTTTTAAAACTGCTGCTTGTTTTACAGATTTGTTAAAACATTCCTGCCAATTCTAAAGAGATGTAGTTAAATGCTCAAATTTTGAGCAGGTGAATTTATTTTTCATGAAAGGATATTAACTTATGACACTTTTCTTATTTTTATTGTAGGATTGGCAGTGTTGGAGCTTTGTTGTGACATGCAAAACGTCTGCATATTCACGTTATTAATGTTTCTTGCAGCTCTTAATGAACCGTTTCTAACTTTCAAAATTAAACAGTTACAGTATTTGATTGGTACAGAGGCAGAACTGAGAAATTTGTATTTAAAATACATTAAATTAAATTAGTGGGAGGACAATATATTTTGCAGATTGAGAGATAAATCTGGAAACAATAAAAAGTTGCAGCGATACTTTTATATTTTTTAGGTATCTTTATATTAGTGCTTTTACTCTTAAACTGTTGCATGAATGCTAAACCTGTGTTTTACTAAATGACTACTATTGAATTTTTACAGACTTTAAAATTAACAAACAAAATTAGTTTGAAACATTTTACGGTTCACAAAGTTTACTGATGTACTCTTGCTTACTGTTAGCAGACATTTATGTCTACAAAAACCAATTTTTAGTGCCAGGAAGCTTTTTTCTTGAGTAAAGTTGATTTTTTTAATGTGTGCTTGCCTTTTTTCAGTGTGTAAGATGAATGTACACAGGCGCTGTGAGACTAATGTAGCTCCTAACTGTGGTGTGGACGCCCGAGGAATTGCCAAGGTCCTGTCTGACCTGGGAGTCACACCGGACAAAATCTCCAACACCGCACAGCGCAGGAGGAAGGTAACAAAACGTTCTGTGAACGGGTTGTGTATTCAACCCGATCAAAAGAGTAATACTCTTTTTAAATACCATATTTTCCAGATTATACGCCCCTCCGGAGTATAGGTCGCATCAGTCAAAAAATGCCTCATGAAGAAGAAAAAAACATATATAAGTCGCTTCGGAGTATACGTCGCAGGACTGGCTAAACTGAAAAAAAGTGAGATTTAAAGTCCAGAAAATACAGTAGTCCTGAAAGTTTTTTTTATTCTAAGCTATTTAAAATCATAAACTTTTTGCTTTAATCGACGTGACGCTTATGATAAGAGTTCTCTACCCACGTTGTCACATGAGCTAGGGTAAACAAACCTCAACAGACGAGACAGCTGATGAGGCGAACGTTGTAAAAACATTGGGCGAGGCATCAGCCAACAATGAGGCAAAGGAAACCGGCAAAGAAGTTTTCTAACGAGTCTGAGATATTGAAGTTAAAGCTCAAGTCTTTGTGCAGCCAGAAAAAGAATGATGAGGAGCACAAAGTGACGCCGACTGTCAATGCAAATGACCTCGTTCAGACGCATTTTGCAGTTGCAAAAGCGGGCAAATGCCGTGCACGATTATTTTCACCACATGCCTGTAAAACATGAAACTCTTCGTGTTATCACGAAAAATAGATTAAATTCATTTACCGTCGTACACGAACATGTGGTCATTGCTGTCTATCACTGTCGTATTGAACTGTTCGTGTGGACGGCCGCGAGCCTTCGTCCATCGTTTACACGTCTGAAGACCGTTTAAGTTGTGGAAATGCCAAAACCGCTCAGGACGACACGTGTCTGAATAGCACGTTCCCCACTGATGACGTTTAACCATTATTTCCAGATGTTGTACAAAAAAAATAAAAATAAAACGCTAAAAGGTAAAGGAAATGAAAATTTCGAGCTAAGGGGCGTGTCACTTACCGATTGGTCAGTTGCTTCATGTCAATTGTAAATTACTGACTCTTGAAAAAAAATGAAATGGCAATTAAGTTTCATTATTTAAAGAAAAGCTTTTGTCTCCTGACTCAAATAACAAGATCTGAAGCGGACAAGCCAAAGGATTAATGGTGTTTGTTTCTGTTTGCAGCTGACTCCAGGGCAGGACCCTCCCCAGTCTCCTCCTGAGCTCTCTCAGACCGAGGAGAACAGCTTCAGTCAGCCAGCTGTTCCCACCTCCCCCTCGGAGCAGGGTAACGCTACACATAAACCCCCCTGAAAGACACGTTTTATACAAACAGACGGACTTTTTTCTAAAGCCCTTTAAGATGGCTTCCTATCAGCACGCCGTCTGCATTTGTTAATTTAACCACTATGAGGTAGTAATTTGATGTCAGTGAAAACATTGTCGTTCCTTTCAAGAAAGACGTAGACAAATGTGTTTGTGTAGACGAAACGTGAATTCATGCCGCACCGCCCACCACCATTTGGTCGTCGCAGTTAGTCACATTTTCACACTTCCCAAGCCGAGAAACGGAAAGTTAACTTTCTCTTTGTAGAAGTAGTCCCGTGTTCGTTCACACCGAGCCAAACGAGAGCGATGACGAGCAGCACACATCGCTGCTGGTATTTAACCACCCTGAGGTGCTGCCACTGATTCATCTCAGGCTGTGGCAGAGGACGTGATGATCATCCTTTAAAGTTCATCGAACAGAAACAACAAATGTGTAAATGTTATAATGATTATATTATTTGTTTAACCGTCAGACGCGGACAGGGAAAAACAATGTTTAGTTTGTGAAAATAATTTTACTGATCCGCTTTTCTGACGCCACCCACAGACTTGGCAGAGTTAGATCGCCTGCAGGACGCGCTGTCACTCGACCAGCAGGGACCCCAGCACTCCTCCTCCTCGTCCTCCTCCACCAACTCCTCTTCGTCCTCAGCAGCAAGGGAGAACGGACAGAGCCAGAGGAGGACCCTCAAAGACTTCAACTTCATCAAAGTTCTCGGCAAAGGCAGCTTTGGCAAGGTGCATCAGCGTGGAGGTGTTTGTGGGGGATGCTCGATTGTGTGGCTATGTATCTTTATAATTAAGCTTTATTTATATATATTTATATATATATATATATATGATTGGTTACACTAAAGCAGAAGGTTATTTATTCGTATTTAATTTTAGCTTTCTACATTGTGTTATATGGGAGCTGACTGTGGGTTGATTATGGTATCTAAGCCAGGAAAAATACAATTTTCAGCTCATTGTTTCTATTACATAACCTGCAGATTTGATGATTTTATGGCATAAAAGTGGTCTGAAATAACACAAGACAAGAGGCTATACAATCAGTATTTATCAAAACCCAAACTCAAGTCCTCTTTCATGCATCCTTGCTATTTTGTTCCACCTTCATCTGCTAAATTTCCAACAACGGGCATCAGACTGTGCTGTGGATTACCCGCCCATACATTCAAAGCAGTTTACAATTTAAAAGACATTTATTCTCTTCTTCAGTATTTAGAGATGAAAACCAGAACTAAAACTGATTTTTGCCAGGTGAGTAGAATTATTTCTGATAAATTATTACTATTGAGGTTTTATAACTTGTGAAAGTATAAGCATGTAAATGACCACAACAGCTTAATTTTAAGGATTATCCATCCATTTTCTATCATTAATCTGTGAGGCATGGGCAACAAGAGCTCCACTTCCACTGGATGTTATGTAGGCTGGGAGGCAAGCGAGGGTGGGACCCTGTGAATGCCGATTCCCGATGACCCAAACTGGCTACTTGATAAATAGTTTAAAACATTACTAAAAATGTTAAAAAGTGGTGAACCTGTTTTAGGAGAGAAATAGAAATTTGAAGCTTTAATCTCACATTTTTGGTCAAATTGTATAGTTTTTATTTGATTTGTCAGATGTCACTTCCTCTTTCTTTTCAAATAGTTAACATTTGTTTGTCTACTTAAAAGGTGAACAGAACTGGCAAAGATTGAAGTAATATTTAATTTGCTTTTTAACCATTTTGATGGCAGATTTAACCTATGAGGACGCTTGTGTTGTGCAAATTTGTAGAGATGCTTTTGTTTAACTTTAGACCTAAAGCTTGGAAAGCATTTTTGTATGCTCTTTGCTGCCGGCATTATGTAAATTAGTTTTTATTAAAGGGCATATTGATCACCAGGCCATACTTGGATGTTTTCTCTCATCAGACTCACTGAACATCATAGATTTGTACCGGCTCATTTTTCTCTTGACCGGGTGCTTCTGATGCCATGTTTAACTGTCGTATCTTTACTTTGGTCATCTTGATTAGCCTTATTTATGCAACATACTGGAGCTGAATACATTTATTTAAGTCTCATCTGAATGAATATTTGTCTTTAACAAAGGATTTGTGTCCAAATTTCCTTGGTACAATTCTCAAATTATAGTTTTTTAATGATGCGCCAAGCGTTCTTCTCTTTATTATTCAGTTGTGCAAGCAGTGCACTGTCCTTGGCTTTATTTTATGACAAAAGGCACTGCAGCTATGATTAGTAATGTGTTGGCGCAGGAGAAGACATTTTTAAACAAACCTGGCTTCGTCCTCCAGGTGATGTTGGCAGAGCTGAAGGGGACAGAGGAGGTCTATGCTGTCAAAGTTTTAAAGAAAGACGTGATCCTTCAGGACGATGACGTGGACTGCACTATGACAGAAAAACGCATCCTGGCCCTCGCCCGTCGCCACCCCTACCTCACCCAGCTCTACTGCTGCTTTCAGACACGGGTAGGTCCACAGCGCAAACATGCAGCGTTGACGCTTTATCTAATGCACTCCTCTGTCTCTGACGTCCTCCTCTCTCCATCCCACTCTCTCCAGGACCGTTTATTCTTTGTAATGGAATATGTGAACGGAGGAGATCTGATGTTCCAGATTCAGCGATCCAGGAAGTTTGATGAGTCCCGCTCTCGTTTTTACGCCGCCGAAGTCACGTCGGCCCTCATGTTCCTGCATCGTAATGGTGTCATATATAGGTAAACACTGTTGACGCCTCTTTGTTTTAATCCCTACTGTCTTTTATTTACCATACCATATCGTACCACTTTATTTATAAAGCACTTAAAACAGCAACAAGACCAACCAAAGTGCTGTACAGCAAAAACAAAACAAGCAAAGGACACAGGATAAAATACATAGATCCAAATAGGTAAAGATAAGAACTAAATGGCTAACATTTTAAAAACCTACAGAAGTATTTTTAAAATTAATTAGAAAGTTAACCAGGAGCCAGTGAAGGAGGGAGGCCAAAACTGGTGTAATGTGCTTTTTTGTGTCTGTACCAGTTAAAAATTGGGTTGCAGCATTTTGAACCAGTTGCAAACTTGCAATGGAGGGCTGGCTTATTCCAAAAAGAATCGCATTGCAGTAATTGAGCCTGGATTTTATGAAAGCATGTATTATTGTCTCAAGGTTACTTTTGGGCAGTACGGGTTTCAATTTAGACAGTCGCCTCAACTGAAAAACAAATAAAAACAAAAACAGGATTTAACAATCGTGTTTGCATAAGTATAAGAGTGTTTGAACCGAAGGATGGATAGTGAGGGAGCAAGCAGAGTGTCTCTAAGAAAAATGGGAGAGAGGCCCCTTGACGTGACATGGGCTGTTTCTCTTTCCTTTTTGTTTTGGTTCTAAAAATGGCAGATGCTCGCTGTGGTTTGAGCTCGTTAGCATAACATTTTTCTTACAAAGCTTTTAATAAATAAATAAAAAATCTGTAAACAAGTTCTCAGTTTCTTTTTCAGAGAAAAACAACTTTTTGCACGAAGGCACAGGTTCCAACCGTGAATTATGGAGCTTCGACAAGACAGGTTTTTTTTTTTTCGAGGTCGGCCTGTTAGCTTAGCTTGTAGCTTAGCTTCTCAGCTTAGCTGCTTTTAACAATCCAAAAACATGATTTTTGACTGTTAAATGGATTTTAAAGAAAAGAGAAAAAGAGAAAGGGAGGGGTCAGTGAAGAGGACTGGAGTTGAGTCTTTTGTCATCCAGTGTCTTCAGTAGAAAGGGAGAGACAAAGAAACAATAAAGCCGATAAATAAAAATGAGGTTAATAATTTTCATCATGCGATTCATTATTTATTGTTTATTGTGACAGGGCTAGCCATGTTTATGAAAAATAACACCTAGTGGCAGCAGGTATAAAGAAAATATAAGCGGACCGAGAATTGACCCCTGCGGTACCCCCCACCGAAGAGCTGCCGATGTTGAAATAAATTCCTTGATGTTGACACAAAAGGTTCTGTCAGAGAGGTAGGACCTAAACCGTTTGAGAGCTGACCCTGTGATGCCCACCCACTGCTCCAGCCTAGAAATGAGGATCTCATGGTTGATGGTGTCCAAAGCAGATGTAAGGTCTAATAGGACAAGCAGCACAGAGTCACCTTGCATCCGTGGCTAGGAAAGTATTATTAAAAACCCTCAATAGAGCAGTCTCAGTGCTGTGGTGAGATTTGAAACCTAATTGTAACACCTCCAAAATAGAGTGGAAACCTCCAGGAAACATTTTAATTGAGAATCCACTATTAATTAATTAATAATAATTATTATTTATTATTTAAAGATTATTCACTACAGTCATACCCTGTATTTTTAGGTAAATCTGGTTCAAAAGGAATTCTTGGAATTTTCATTATTTGGTTCCTTCTCATATTTATAGATTAAACGCTCACCTCCTGACTGAGCCAAAGAGTTTTGGGAAGCAGATGGCACTGACCCGCCCCCTCTTCCTGTCTCTTGCTTCCACAGGGATCTGAAGTTGGACAACATCCTCTTAGATGCAGAGGGACACTGCAAGCTGGCAGATTTTGGTATGTGCAAAGAGGGCATCATGAACGGAGTGACCACCACCACCTTCTGTGGCACACCTGACTACATCGCTCCTGAGGTGAGCTGGAATTAGACTCCAGGATGGGAGGATCTTAGGAGTCTTGCTCCATAGAATTTAGCGTGTGGTAATTTGTAAAAAAGTGCTTATAAAAAGATTTTAGAACAAAGGCGGTTGCACTCTGCTATTTGACTCTGTGCAAAAATCTTTAGCCGTTTTTCGATTTCTTGGAGCCAAACTTGTAATCTTTAATGGTTCATTAATTGCTCACAAGTTTTTCTTTGGACTTTGGCTGCTTTTTCCACTCATTTTCAGTTGAATAGTTAACTATTATTAGAATATTATTTTTTGTTTGTGAATCCACTTACTCATTCTAAAAAACATTCAGGTGTTAAAATATCTCCAAAACTCAAGAGGTTAATGGGTGTTGACACATTACAGACAATGTAGCAAAAAAAAAAAAAAAGTTTTATATGGGATCTTTAGGAACTTTGTTACCAGCAGCCTGACTCAAAGACACAATGAGTTTCCATTTCTCAGTTGAATCAATAAATATATCAATGATAACACACTTTGACAAACATTACCATACTTCTTGGACTATAAGTCGCATATTTTTGCATAAATTAGCAAGTCCTGCAACATATAGTCCAAAGCGACTAATTTACGTTTATTTTTTCCCATATTTATAACAATTTTTGTCTCAGAGTTGACGATTTTGTTCATTCTGACATGGAAAATATTGAATACTACCCTGATGCATGCTCAATAATCCAGGTAGAAAAATCCAAAAAAGTTAAATCTGGTCCTCTGGACATTCAAAAAAACAAAACAAAGCAAAACAACAAAAAAATGTAGAAACGTTTCGTCTCATTAATAGGTAAAAGTGACTATTAATGAGACATTTGGCTTGACATACAAAGCCACCTTCGTCTTGCTCCGGAACTCCTGGAGCTTCAATTTGCTGTGCGGCTCAGGCGAAATGCAGCTGATTTGACTGCCAAAGTGCATTTAGTAAGGAACAGTTAAACTGAGACACACCTTTACTATAATGTCGAGCAAACAGATAATTGTTTTTAGGTGGTTATCTTGTTAAATTTTGAAGAAATGCACAGTGAGTCCTCCCTTTGTGCACTCCAGCAGCTGCAACTCGATTTTTGAAATGAAGCTTGTTTTTAACCATTAAAGTGCATTTATTAAGGAAAAGTTCAACTGAGACACCTTTGCTATAATGTCTAGCAAACAAATAAATGTTTTTAAGTATTAATATTGTTAAATACTTGTTAATGTCCTCCCGTGCACGCTCCTGCGGCCACCATTTGGCAGCCGATAGATTTTTGGCACAACACCGGCCCACATTTCTGGGTGGTCAGCGGTGACGCATAACAAACGCGACGCGTCAGAGGTGACACATAATTGCTGCGACTTATAAGGTGAAGCGACATATTTATGGATTTCTCCACTTTATTAGACATAATTGGACTGATGCGACTTATATGGCGGTGCGATTTTTAAGGCGGAAAGTACGATGAACACTACGATTTCCAAACAAATGGTGAGAGCTATTAGATAAAATACCAAAAATGATTACTACACAATGTGTGTCGGGTTAGGTTGAGTTTGTTGTTGGGCCTGTGGTACCTCGGTGGTCAGTGCCACAGTCTTGTAATGTTGAGGCTGCGAGTTTGAGCCCAGGTTGCATCAGGAATGATATCTGGCGTAAAACCATTGTAGAATCTTTCCTTCTGCAAAGAGAGAAGCTGAAAGAAAAACATCAGTTTTGCTATAGTCAGTTCATCTTCTCTTTAACTTCACCTGCTCTCACTCAGAAATCACCCCCCCCCCCCCCACACACACACACACACACACACACGTCAGCCTTTGCTGAGTCACACTGCTTTGCTTCCTTGTGTTGTCGGCCTCCTAGTTGGTTCATCCTATCTTTAGCTCTTTGTGCGTTCCCTGGACTTTATGTTGCCCCATCAGATTTTGTATACAGTATTTTATTAAAGTCTTAGTTTTCTCACTTTATTTTCAGCCCCTATGTCTATATGATGGGTTTTAAAAACTATTCATTCATTCAACCTTTATTTATGCAGGCTAGTCTCATTGAGCCACAAGGACTCATTTACAAGAGGGACCTGTTCCAGACAGAACATATAAAGTGCAGACAACAATAACAGTAAATAATGACAATAGTAAACTACAGTAAAAAATGCTGTTAAAATAAGAGTAGTGTATAAAACAATAAATCAGGGTGCCATAAAACAGGGTGAAATACTAAAAACAATAACATATCTGCCTTCATTTTTCCATTGACATTATCAAATGTTTGAAACCCCTTAAAGAAATCAAGGTGGACAACTTCAGTTCCTGTTGCAAGGTGTTCCAGGTTGCAACTACATCTTCCTGACAATATTCTGTTGTGGACAGAAACAGTAATTGAGTAAAAAAAATGAAGCCAGAATTCAAACATATTTTGGAAAGGCATTTAAAAAGTTTGAAATATTCATCAATTCTTTGACCTTGGAAGCAAAGTCAAAAAATAGTAGCTATTTAAAACTTTTGCACACAACTAGGTAGAGTGCACTTAAAAATGAAATAGTTTTCAGTCTCAAACTGAAAAAAAAGGCATTTGATATTACAGCCACCTTCCAAAAGCCTCAGTTTGTTTTTAACTGTTGAATCGGGTGATCTGCCTGTAAACTGGATTTGCAAACTGATTTTCATGTGTAAACACATGCAGGAGGGGAATAGAAACAGTTACTCAATGCTCGTGTAAAACTAGATGATGTCATGTTGTTTTCTTCTTTTTTTAGTCGCTGTAGTGAGTGATGCAAACAAGATGTGGCAAAAAGTCCCTGTTTGCGCTGTAAAACTCACCCAGTATCACAACCAGCAGTTCATAGTTTGATTGTTATAATGTGACCATAATGGCTCATTTAAATTTGAACTAATCTAATTTTCCCTTTTCAGCTTCCTCTTACTTTTTTTTTTTTTTTACATCTGAAAGGACTGACAGCAGTCAGAAATGATGTAAAGTTTGTATTTCTTCACAGTATTTACTCCTGATTGCTTTGCTCATCATCTAAAACTCTATTAGTCAGGTCTGATTTTAACAGAGCTGTTACTTTTGTTCTTTTAGTCAGTCAGATTAGTGTCATTTAGTCACTGAGCATTCATAAAAACAAATACAGTAGTCCCTCGTTTATTGCGGGGGATCCGTACCCTGAAGACCCGCGTTAAGTGAAAAAAACGTGAAGTAGGAATAGTAGTACAAGTAGTATGTAGTAGTTTATTTTATTATATATATATATATATATATATATAAGGCATTTTAAACACTTCCCACACTCTTGCAATATTCTAAACAATTTTTCTAAACTCCAAACTCTCTAAAAGAGCACAGAATGTCATGACTTCAGCTCCCTGCCTCCTCTGCTCTTTGCCACCTGCAAGCGCTCTTGGCCACGCCCACTTCTCCGCTCTGCATGGTTGATCAGCTGCAGCAGGAAGTTTATCCTGCGGATCTGGGCTGCACAAAGGTGCAGCAGGTAGTTGCAAAATAATTTAAAATCATTTATTTTAAATAAAAATGCCATGCCAATTGTGCGGCTCATCCATCAATCAGCCAATTGTGTGTCATGTTCACTCTTATTTTGAAAAACTGTGATAGAGCGAGTTCGCAATAAACGAACCGCGAGGTAGCGAGGGACTACTGTATGACAATAGAAATGTTTAAAAAGTAAAGCAATTACGAAACAAACGAATGGCTGCATTTTTCAGGGCAGAAGATATCTAGATAAGATCTTTAGATGCTTCTCTTATTTTCCACCTCTGCTTTTAAAAACATCAAGGCTGTTTCTTTGATCAGTTATTGTATTTTTAACCTTCTAATATATGGAAGAACAGACGTTTATGTATTAATAAATGCGTATAAGAGAAGTGTTTCCAAACCAAAGCTTTTGGCCCTCTGAACCAGTGCTGTTGGACGTCAGAAGAGCAGTTCTTGCTCCATTTCTCCTGTTCGTTGAACCGAGTCTCGTTGTTTAAACCAGATCCTACAGGAGCTGGAGTACGGAGCCTCCGTGGACTGGTGGGCTCTGGGGGTGCTGATGTACGAGATGATGGCCGGGCAGCCTCCGTTCGAAGCGGATAATGAAGACGACTTGTTTGAGTCGATTCTCCACGACGATGTCCTCTACCCTGTGTGGCTCAGCAAGGAGGCCGTGTCCATACTCCGAGCAGTACGTGTCACAAAACTTATTTGATTTCTTAATTTTACTGTTTCAAAAGATATTCATATTCTGTTCGAGTGCAGCATTTTTGTGCCTTTTTATATTCATTTAGGGAAGAAAAAATCCAATTAAAGAATTGCTTTTATTTTACTGAAAATAAATGCATTATTTATTGGGGAGTGGTGGCGCAGAGGTTAGAGAGGTGGGCTTGTGATCCGAAGATCGCCGGTTCACGCCCCGGCCCCGACAACATCAAAAATTGTGGGTGGGATAGGTGAAACACCCACACTTGCCCCCACCCTCATTCGCCCCACTCTGGGCCCATGAGCAAGGCCCTTAACCCCACCATGTGCTCCCTAAAACAGGTCTCTCTTGCAAATGAGTTCTCGTGGCTCAATGAGACTAACCTGGATAAATAAAGGCTAAATGAAAAAAAAAAATTGTCTTCATCATAGAATATTACTTGTTGAGTTAATTTATTTATTTTACATTTGTTCACGTAAAACACATTTAATCCCTCAGTTTTATTTATGGGCTAATATACAAGTGAAAAGAAATAAAAACTGTTTGTTACGTAAAAAATGGAAAATTATTTGAATTACATGATTGAAGAAGCTCAGCATTTACATTTACATTCCTATAATTAATAAATGTTCATAAAGTTTTTAATAAATTATGTATTTACAGAATACAGAATGTATTTATTCTCAAAACATTTACAAGATGAAATGTAAAATTGTTTTTATCTCTTAAGGATTTTCGCATTTATTCGTCTGTTTCGTACCGCGATAATTTGTTATTCAGTGTGAAACTAAAAAAGTTAATAGAAATATAAAGTTTCGAAACGTAGCATGCAACAGGCCACCATCGATAGAAAGAAAGTGTTAAAAGTGATGTTTTTTCTCGCTCACAATAAGAACTCTGGAAATACTCTGAGTACAATAAAACAAGATTTTATTGTTGCAGTGTGGCACCCTTATAAATCTAAAACCATTCCACATGACCCAGATGTCTGACAAAGCTTTTTTCAGTCCATTTTTAACCGTTAGCATTCACAACTCAAAAGTATTTTATAAAGATTTTCATAAAGTAAACATTCATTCAGGATTTTTAAGCTTTTGTCTTTTTCTACTGAAACCATTGTGTCAAATGTTACGGTGCGCTTTGCTCAGTAAGGATAAAAGAGTGTGTAAATAAAGGCTTAAGTATTGAGATCTTACCCTGCTGCTGCCCTTAGGTCAAAATGACTGGCTACAGTCTTACCTAGAGGCCTAGTCAGTCATTTTGACCCAAGGGCAGCAGGAGGGTTGAAGCCACAAAGCATCACCAAGCTCTGAACAGACAACAAATGCAAAGTTTGTGCTTTTAGAGACACTACCCCTTCTGTTTGAACCATTAATGCTCTATTTTTTAACTCTCTTCTAATTTTTTTTCCTGTTTTGGGTGTTTGAAGAATGAAACCGCAGCGGAGCATCTGCAATGAGTCTGGCAGAATCTTCTTACCAGATCTGTGTATTGTCTCTGCAGTTCATGACGAAGAACCCGGCCAAGCGTCTGGGCTGCGTGGTGAGCCAGGGCTGCGAGGAGGCCATCAAGACCCACGCCTTCTTCAGAGAGATCGACTGGATTCTGTTGGAGCAAAGAAAAGTGAAACCACCCTTTAAACCCCGAATTGTAAGAAACACTAAACACCACTACTATTAATTGCAGCAATGATTTCAGAATCAGCTTTATTGTCATTGAACCGAAACACAGCAAAATTACATTTCAGTGCAGCCCGTCCGAGAAAACATAAAGAAACAGACATGGGGAGACGGAGGTGTCTGAGGCCGCGGCCTCGGGAGGTGCTTCCCTTTTCGTTTAGATAAGGAAAAGAGAAACACGAGGGGAGGTATAAAATAATCATCTCGCACTGTACGGGGCACTGTGTGACAGTTGCAAAAAAAGATCTCAGCTCTCAGATCTCCTGATAAGAGATGGTGCAGTGTCAGTCAGCCAGCTCAGCAGGTCCACAGATGTCCTCGGAAGGAAGCGGGTGGGGGGGCAGAGCTTCTTGTTCACATAACATCCAGGAGAGTTTGAGATAGTTGGCCATTTCAAGGCCAAGCGGGGGAGCCAGATTCAGATAATTATTTTGGGTCAGACTGACTCTGCTTGATTTACGTCTGCCTTCATAATTCTTCTGGTACGTCTCCTTGGCAACTTCGAACAGCCAAATTTTGTGGTCAACACCGCAGGGCCGAGCTTGTAGCTTCTCCAAGGTCGATTCCTTTCTGCCAGTGAGTTTCGGGAGCCGCAAGTGGCCGGCGAGTCTCAGAAATCGCGTCCAGCTTACGGCTCAGCTCACACGGCATCTGAGTCTGAGTGCTCACTGCTCGGGCAGAACTTACAATGGCCAGAACAGCTGCCGACGTTTTTCACATTTGTCAGTATATGCCAGGTAACTACCAACTTTAAACTTTAAATTTAAATATAAACAAAAAGTAGTAAAATTCAACAAGCCAACAGAACGTCCCCACATATGTGGTCACTTTTTACTTCCTCAGATTCACAGCATCGCTCTTAATGTGTATAAATATGATTGAATTCAGTTCAGTTTATTTATGTAGCGCCAAGTCACAATAGAATCGCAGGGCACTGAACAGAAAATGACTTGAACCATCATAATAAGAATAAAAACAATATTTTAGTTCCTAGGCTTGCTGACCTGTTGATGTCAGTTTATTTAAAAAGACATTTAACTCTCCTAATATGTTTGGATCAAATTTGATCATTTTAAATAGGTTTTTCCTATGATCTGATTTACGAGAGTATTCATAGACAAAATTAATTAGAACAATTGTCTGTACATTTTGGGAGTTTCATTCAACTCTGTGATGTTCCCAGTCAGAAATGAAGTGTATAAATCCAACACCGGCAGATGTTCATAATTCCTTGCCGAAACCTTCAGGTGCTTTTGTTTTTGAGCAGACACACACCTCACTCACTTCTGATATTTCATGACAACACCCATGAAAATCTGAACCACACCTGTTGGTGTTCTCACAAACATTCAGCACTGGCTCTGTCTTAATCTAAAACTTTCCTCACAGCTGTGGTTTGATAAAAGTTGTGGTATATTTAATATAAACATATACAGTAGTTGAATATTCAGCTGTAAATTTTCCAGGACATCCTTGTAAAAGAGATTGATAATCTCAATGGATTTCTTCCTGGTAAAATAAACTTGTAAAAAAAAAATATGGGACTATGTCCTCCATGTTCACTTTTTACAAACTTCTGGGCCATTTTAATAAATCTGAAATGATAGACAAATAAATGTTCTTGATTAACTTTGAGAAAGAGCAGGGCTATTCAAGTGACAGCCCGTGGGCCACTTCCGGTCTGTGGGTGACTTCAGTCCGACCCACCAATGAGTTCATTAAAAAAAGCAGCCGTCCCTCATTGATCGCGGGGGATCCATACGAATACATAAGTGAAAAACCATGAAGTAGGGATAGTAGTACAAGTAGTAAGTAGTAGTTTATTTTAGTATATATAT